AAGAACGCAATCGTTGCGACCAACAAGCAATATTGTTCCAGCAGCAACAACTTTGCTCCACCATAGCTAGCCTTACTTCGTGGCCGCAGACAAAACGATCCTGACCACAGCCTTCAAATAAGCCATGGTGATGCAAACCCTTGGTGGCAAACAAGTTAGGGACCACAAAAGACAAAGTGCAATCATCGATAGTCCAGGGACAGGTAACACATCGATACCTAAAGACTTTCATGGGCAAGGTTGAAACCCAAAGCCTCGGCAGAGTCGCTATACTTCACCCAAAGCTATTCCGAGGACTGACAATGAGTGCAGTCTCTCTGCAATGGTCTCTTGGCATTTGTGCTTAATCCTTGAGGCACCGATAGGCAACGGACTAAACCGACTGGCAACCAAGTAACTGCACCTCAAGCAGCTTCAGCAAGCTGGGATGGAGAAAATCCACGCCAGGCGCGGTAAAAAAGGTGGTCGATTGCATGTTTCATAGGGTTTCATCCATACCAGCCGGTGGGTGTCTCATGTTTTGGGGGGAACCCAAAACAGTGGTTTCCCTGCAAGCCTTCTTTCAAGGAAAACTCCTTTGTCTATTGAGCTTTGCTGGCCGTCTTCGTTGGCTGAGGCACACAGCACCAGTCAGGATCTGCAGCCGCAGGGCGATCTTGAAGCCAGTGCCGTTGCAACCTAAGACTGACATACCCCCTACTCAAAATACCCGCTTTTTTCAGGGTATTTTTGGGAAAACCTGGTGTTCCATGGTAAATACCTCCTTTTAGTAGAGGGTTGACAAGGAAACAAAAACTCAACGGGTACCCTCCTTTTCCATTCTTTGCAGGGATCCTGCTTTCTAGAAAACCTCCGGCAACCCAGGGAAAACAGACGGTTTTTGGAAAGAACGATAGGTGAAAATAATGGGGAATCAACCGTTAGAAAAATCAACAAAATAATACATGAAACCAACCCACCGACTGACCGACGAACGAACCAACGAACCAACGAACCAACCAACCAACCCACCGACCGACCGACCGACCGAACGACCGACTGACCGAGCGAAAAACCAACCAGCAAAGAAGCAGATGGGTCCTGTGTGGCGGGTCCCTAGAATGTGACAGACCGAGTACTGGCTCGTTCTTTGCACCGGATTTGGTCATCAGCAACAGAAAACGGCAAAATCAACAAAGTTGAAGGGATTGTGCGTGATTCAGCAAGCAACCCTCTTTAAAGGGTTGCCCCCCCACGATTAATCAATCAACCATAGTTGTCTTGCACAAAATCCCGGGGTTCCCATTAAATTACTCAGCACATCGGCAAGGTAACATGGCGCCACAGGCTGGCTTAATTATAATAGCGGCAGTATGCGGCAAGGACAACCACCAGCTGCATCAGGATGGAAATGCCCATGGGCACCAAGGCGTAGGTCTTCATCCACATCGTGAAACTGGCGCGGAAGGCAATAACGTCAAGTGCAAACGATTTGACAACTGAACTGAACATCTTTCCAGAAGATGGATTGGTACGTTGCTTTATGGTCTCTGATTCGTTCGGGGAAAAACAACTCGGTTATTTGTTGTGATTTCTTGCTCAAGATACCCAACTTCGGCAATGCCAGCGACAAACTTCAAACGATGTTGTTCCGCGTCTGCCGCTCGAAAGAACACAACATGCTCCAACAGGATTTTGTGATCCCTGACACCTTTTGTGGTCAACCATCAATGCCATCAACAAAGTACGAGCTAGTGAACCTGCAAGGTATGTATCACTGAAAGGCTTCTCCCGGCCCCACCCTGTACAAACCGTGGGACCCGACAAGCCCACGAACGGTTCCTCGGTAACCCTTCCATTTCATGCCCCTTCCGTGCGTCCCTTCAGAATGCGGCCATTGACTTGAACCCAATCAGGGGACTAGAAGGAATTGAGCTCAGAAGCGGGGCCCCGTTTTCGCGTGGTCCGGATTCATCGGAAGTTGACAGGTGTCTCATCCAGAAGTTCTATGATTCAAAGCCATCACTGCTGATTCACCGCAGATCAAAGAATGGTTGCTGGATTGGGGAGGCTAGGGACACTTTGGAAATTGGAAAGCGAACCCCCACCAAACCTCCAGCGATCTCGCCTTCCACGTGTTCAATGCTTGCTTGTTTGAAACATGTCAAACCGCGCAGAGTGCTGCGAATATATTGTGGGCTCGCAGCCGTTCTGCTCTACACAGTCACAACGGCTCACACTAAACTCACAAGAAAACCTTGTTTTGGTATGTGCGCGAACGCAGCCCGGCGGATCCCACCCCGGACGCGAACTCTGCACGCGAGATCTGCAGCTCGGTTTGGCCCTTTGGCGCCTGTCGTAGTTCTCGCAAGTCTCAAGAGTGTTAGCAGCGCCGAGGAAGAAGATCAGAGGAATCCAAAAGCAGCAGCACCTGTCGCATCGCGTCGCGTGGAACGGATGGCTTTGTGCATGGCCATGACGGAATCTTTGCAAAAGTACTTAAAAATAATTTCCAGTTCTTGATTAAGATGCCATACGGCTGCCGTTTGTTGGTCCTCTTTCTAGTCAACACATGTTTGCTGCAATCAAGGGCAGTCAAAACATTTTCTCAGAATCCAAGCACCCGGTGGGATCCTAGCAGAAAAACTGGGTTCTCCCACAGAAACCCCCAGGTGCAAGGGCAACGTCGAGGAAGCCATGAGCCGCAGCTTACTGAAACAAATCGGGCTAGAGATCAGTCAGTAAGGGATCAACACATGGGTCTGTCGCAATAGGGGAGCCCCTTGGTTTAAAGGGAAACCAACATAAAATTACTTTTTTGGGGTGTCCCCAGCATATGTGACTTTTGCAGAAATACATGTCCCCGGTAAATGGAATCAAACCATCTAAACCAGTGCCATCTATTTCTAAGCAATGGTCCCTAGTTTTGAGAGACACCCTGAGCAATTGCCCTGTCGGACACCATCTCAGGTGAGATGGTGCTTTCGCGACCGATTCTGGTTATCACCAGGGCACGCATTCACGCAGATCATGCCCCCCAGCATGATGGGGCCACCTTTCTTCTGCTCCTTCGTTGGCAGACCCGAGGGTGGAAAAACTGATCCATGGTAAAGGCAAACCAAAGGAAACCAAACCACATGTTCTACCCTCTTGGATTGGCCGCTTAGAGGCTCGGCTCCATGCTAACGATATCCTCAGTCATTTCATCTATGTCTCTGCCGGCGAATCCATGCTGCTTTTGGCTTGGCCAAACTGCTGTGGTCTGAAGTCCCGGGTCTTTGCTTGAGACATCTTGCAATTAAAATTGGCATCTGCCAGCGATGCTAATGACATGAACCTGCAAGCTGGTAAACCATTAGTTGTGAAACTACAACTAAAATAGCACGTGATTTTGTTTTTGTTTACTGTCAAAAGCACTCAGACCCTGCAAAACCCATGATGTCATGTTGGTTCGTGTTGACATGTGCCCAATCGGGTACGTAGTTGCATCCGTGTCAAACAAGGCCTCTGCTTTTTGGCGGGTGTCCAAAATAGTCAACAGAAACAAGTTCGACAGAATCTTACAGCGTGTTCACCAACTGATCTCGCCAACATGCCTGGCTGCGCGCATGCAAAACTGGCGACAACATGCCAACTGCAAGCACCGTTGCGAATGCGACAAACCACAGGGCATGCAAGAGTAGTGTGTTGCAACAAAAGTGCAGCAAACTGCATCCATGAGTTCATCACCCAGTCACAATGGCTCAAGCTGCCTGTGACCGGAGAAATAAGTATCCAATTTTGTAATCCTGCTCAACGAGAGGAATATCCCTGGGGCGGTCTTTAATTTGGGAACACTCTGTTTTGAGATGGATTGAAACTCTGAAAGGCGCACCAGAACAGAAGCACTGCAATTTGGGCGACTTCAGAAAAAAACTAAAAATACATAAATGTTTCTCAGCGAATTCACCCCCCCCGATGCGCAGATGTGTCTGAAGGGACTCGCTTGAATCGGGCTGCCAACAAAAATCTGGCAGCGATCGGTTTGCAGCAAGACGTTGGCATCCCGAAAGCTCCAGCCATTTGCTCATCCTTGAAATGCAAAGAACAAACCTAGGTTTCATGTTGGGGGACAAAGAACACCTTCCGCCAAAGAGGGGTTCGAGAGCAAACCTGCAAACATAGTTTTGACAAACCGTGTTTTGGATAAACCAATGGAATGGGGAGAGTCCTCCAAAAGTGATATTTTGCTTCGCTTCATGTCCCTAGCCAGCACAAACGACTAAAGTCCAGCTCTAAGGCACTACTTCCATTTTTGTTCCTTTTGGTGATTTTCAACATATGCTTTGCCCATAGGCCCACACCGGGTGAGTCTCCCATGAATGGTGCGGGTTAGGAGGAACCCAACCACCAAACTCCCAGAACCCCCTCCCCCCCAAAAAAGAAAAGAGTTGAACCGGCCGCAATTGGAAACACCTTGGCGACATGTTCTTGCCAGACCCCTCGATTTCAATGCGCTCCTCCTGGAGCTGGTCCGTAGGCACGCGCTGAAGCTCCGGCATAACGCTCGCGGAAAGTGTCGTCTGTCGGATCTCTCGAGCGGCTGGCGGCTGGCGGCTAAGAAAACCGCGAATTCGACAAGAGAAAGCTGGGCCGGTGACCCGGTGCTTGAATCTTCAAAACCCCACTCCGCAGGTTAGGGGTAAGTCAACCAACTCCTGTCCCACTTGTAATCTTTGTTATAAGTTATAAGCCTCGTACTGCAAGGATTTGGCTCGGCTCGTCTGCTGGGGCCTAAACATTGGAACCCACGACTTGGACCCCGTTTGGCTCGGGGGAAATGCTCCCAAGGCGAAGCCCAAGTCTGGGCAGCCAAAGCGCTGCTTGGGTATGCGGCCAAAAAGTAGGACCTCCGAAATTGTGATATGTTCCCTGTGATTTCCGTTGAAACAGAGCTGGCCAGCGCTTTCTCGGGGGAAAATAAAATAAAATAAACGCAACCCACCTTGACACATTCCCTTAGCCAGACTCAAGGCCCCAGCCACGTCGTGAGCCTCAAGCTTTTCGATGAGAGCCTGCAGGGTGTATGGGGATCTCCGCTAATGCTGGACTCGTGTTGGACCACTGCTCATCGGGTTCTATTCACGAGGGTCCAAGATGAGTTTCCGATTCCCTGTGAGATTGGAAGGGGCCCTGTTTTTCTATCCTGACCTGCTCTCCCTGAAAGACCACTTTCCTTGGAAATGTGTAAATGTGTGGGTTCCGTGCTGGGGACCGTGCTCGTTGTGCGCTGTATCAATGGGGTACATGTTGGAACATCTCAGCTCGTTGGGATGTCAAAGACACTGCGGCCCAAGCACAAAACACACAAAACATGAGCTGAGGACATGCACAATGTATCTGGGCACTGTACAAAGCTCAATAGTCATCCTGAACCTTAATTAAGAGTCGGAGCCTTTGGTCAATGCCAGACCCGCCTGCACGCGCCACCGGGGCAGCGTCTGCCCCAGCAAGGCTTGCCCACCTGGGACACCGCGGTCCCACTTCCGGATTTCTCCACTTTGCCATCCTTCAGAGGGACACCACAAGGGAAACAACCACCCTTTGGCTTCAGGGTTCCGGAACTTGGACCATCCAGGAAAACACACCGCCCTTTCTTTGCTGAACAAGCACATCATGTCAGACGTCGCAAATACAACAGCCATAACATGTGTGGCCAACGGACACAAGCATGTCTGCGTGTTGTGTTGTGTCTTTCTTTCTTTTATTTTTTTTCTTTTGGGGGGGGGGGGGGCGGGGGGCGGGCAGATGTGCGATATGTTGGTGGTGTACCCATGCGGCTTTGCATAATGCTTCTGTTCTTGCTGTTTTGAGCAGCTGATCCAGCAACATATGACCACAATCATTTGTTCTCTAACAAGATTAATTTCAGACTCAAGTCAACATGCACTCATATCCATCGATGCACGAATCAACGCTGGCAAAACGCATGACGTTCAAAGAGTTCACCGAGGTTCCTGTTTGTGTTGTACTTCCTCGTCTTGCACAATTGTCTGAAGCAAATCCCCAACACGGCTAGCGTCCAGCATTCAGCCCGTGCTTAGCAAGACTGGGGGAATCCTTTGCTAAAAGGAATGGTGCGTCTTGAGCATGGAATACTCAATTCCCGAGTGGATTGGTCAAGAAATGCCCTCAGGGTCTTTTCTGTGCATTGAACTGACACACCAACGCCCACTGGGCCCACTGGGCAGTGAGACGAGGGAAGGACCCTTGCCCTTACCACGTTCGGCTCCTTTTCGCCTGGTGGCTCGGGCCCCAGCTTTTCCCCAGCAGAAACACACTCACCCAGCTCACCTCGTTCGCATGGCTCGGTGATTCCGAAGCGAGTAATAATCAGCTAGCGCACCCTGGAAGTGTTGCCTTCTTCGGGAAACCACCCCAAAAAGACATGCTGGTTGTATTTTATTCCATTCCTTGATAACACAAAGAGGGTAGCCTCAAAAAAGACACACCTGACCAACCAGTAGGTAGGTACGGTTAGCACATGATTGAAGATTTCAATCAGGAAATGGGTGGGCAATTGGGGGGCCATGTGCTAACTACGTGTTTCTCGCCGTAGACGCCCCAATGGATGGATTTGAGGCCGCGTGCAACCACACCTGGACATCGATGGGGTGACCCTTTGAATGGGCAACAAATGGGTTCCTTTTGGATGGTACACATGTTTGTCCTTGCAAGCTACCCGATTTACGAGAACCTGCCATAGTGGCCCCATGCGAGCTATGGTTCCTCATGGAATCAGTCGAGATGAGTTGCGGGTGGAACTACCAAAGTCCCCCCGCCTTTTCAGGGAAGGCCAAAGCTTTCAGGCAAGGTCTCGGAGCCTCCCTGGAGTGATACTATCTCCTGAGCGGGGATTTCTTTGTCAACTCGTGCACTAGCTGGCACACCCCAACATATGTACATCGGCTTGGGCCCCCGAGCAAACTAACATGTTTGATGCAGGTCCATATTTAGTGGACATTCAACACAAACAAAAACACAGAAAAACAACGTGACAAAATGCAGACTCCAATCAACCCTTCCTCACATATGCCACTGTCAAACATTTTGTCCTTCACAAGGAACCTGAAATGTGCAATGTCTAAGCTCTGCTGTGGACGAAATCCGCTTCCTCGGGAGAACTCACCTGCCGATCGGCCTGGATTTTTTGTCCATCCACCGAGGGCTCGTCACCATCCCTGCCACCCCCCGCTTTGTTTCATCGTCTTACGGCCGCACCATGGAGGCCATGACCATCCCCGCGGCCACATCCTGAGAACGTGCGAAGCGCCCCAACCCACCAGCGACCTGAGAACCGAATGTTGGCGAGCAAAAAAGAAACAGGGCACGAACACAAAGAAGCCGACAAACTCCAAGATTGATCCATGCGTGGCAAAAAATAAGAAAATGGAGCACAAACAAGCAACTGCCCAAAGTCCAACATGAATATGTCCAGTGGGGCTGCTATGATGTTGCCCTACATTGTTCACATGGGGACCAAGAACCTCTTCAACTGTTGAGCAAGCTTCTTTTGGGGGGCCCAACCCAAAAAATAGCGCTACTCGCAGATCCCAGTCAGCACACGTCAGCGTAGGTCACCCTTCGCCAGGTGACGGTTGGTCTTCGCTGGTGGCCATTTTCAAAAAGAAACTACGCCCTTGTCTTGGTGGTTGATGTTGCAAGGAAATCCGCTGAGAGAAAAAGGGAACCAGGTGTCTGGGAATAGAAAACACACCATGGCAAATGGAACACCTCCAGATATGTGGGAACCAACTGGCATCGAAAAAGGATGGCAATTCACAACGTCGTGGGGATGGGTCGCGATCCTTCTGACAGGCGCTTGGACTCAAAGGACACCCCGAACAATAAAGTGCGCCATGAACGCAGTGCCCAGGCTGACGAACATTGCCTATCTATAACACGTCAATGTATGATGTATACATATATACATATACAATGTAAGGATATCATATGTTTGTCATGCATGTATGTATGTATGTATGTATGTATGTATGTATGTATGTATGTATGTGTGTGTATGTATGTATGTTTATGTATGTATGTATGTATGTAGTATGTATGTATGTATGTATGTATGTATGTATGTATGTATGTATGTATGTATGTATGTATGTATGTATGTATGTATGTATGTATGTATGTATGCAAGCATGCGTGTATGAATGTATGCAATTAAGTATGTATGCATGTATGTGTGTATGTATGTATGTATGTATGTATGTATGTATGTATGTATGTATGTATGTATGTATGTATGTATGTATGTATGTATGTATGTATGTATGTGTGTATATAAGTAGCTATGCATCTGTGTTTCTATGTATGTGTCTATGTATGTATGTATGTATGTATGTATGCATGCATGTATGTATGTATGTATATATGTACGTGAACACGTGGGTATGCACGTGTGATTATATATATATATATATGCAAGTATGAACAAGTGTATGCGTGTATGAATGCATGTATGCATGCATGTATATGTATGTATGTCAATGTGCTGTTGTGCAATGTATGTATGTATGTGTGTGTGTGTGTGCGCCTTTATGTGTGTAATAGTGTACTGTGTGTATGTATGTAATGTATGTATGTGTGCATGCATGTACGTCATGCAAGGACATTGCATGTACCAAGTGCAACGTAAAGCAAGGTAATGCACTGTAAGTATGCGTACGTACGCTTATATGTCTGAATGTGAATGTTTGTATGTCTGTGCATGTATGTGTTTATGAATATGTGCATGTGTATGTGCGCGTGTAATGTGTATGTGAATGTGCATGTGCATGTATATGTGTGTATATGTATGACAATATGTGTATGTAGGTATGTGCGTATGTGTGTATGTATGTAGGTATGAGTGTATGTATGTATGCATGTATGTATGCATGTATGTGTGTATGCATGCATGCATGCATGCATGCATGCATGCATGTATGTATGTACGTATGTATGTATGTGTCTATGCGTGTATGTATGTATGTACGTATGCATGTATGTATGTATGCATGTATGTATGTATGTATCTATCTATTCGTGTGTGTAGGTATGTATGAATGTATGATTGACTGAATGCACGCATGTATGTATGCATGCATGCATGTATGTATGTATGTATGTATGTAGGTATGTATGTATGTGTGTATGTATATTATGTATGTAATGTATGTAAATTATGTATGTAATGTATGTAATGTCTGTAATGTATGTAATGCAATGCAATGTAATGCAATGTAATACAATGTAATGTAATGTAACGTAATGTCATGTATGCATGTACGCATGCCAGTATGCATGTATATCATGTACACATATTGATACACATTTAGAGAGAGAGAGATACATATCGTGGAGATCATCATCATCATACATCAATAGCAAGTCGTTCAAAGCACATATCCCTGCCAGAATCCATGCCCTACAGAGATCAGCGCGGAAGTGTTCCATTCTTCCCCAACCTCCATTAGCAATGGGGAAAAAGGGGTACCAACCTCGTGATTGGTTTTACTTGTTCGATACTCTTCTTTTCAAGTCTAGGAAGATCTGGCTCAAAATGCTTCGCAAGCCGACTTCAGATTCCAAGAGCCGGGCCGGCACGGCGCTTTCGAGATGATAAGCCAGGCCCAAGCCTTGAACCAGCCACGCCCGAGCCACCCCAAAACCACCCCCACACCCAGAAGCACCCCCAAACCAACCTGATTCGTTTTGTCCGTAACGAGTAGAACAGACCAGATCTTGGGTCATGGCAAATTTCTTGCTTGGTCGAACGGTTTGAAGACTAGACGCTCGTATCGGAAGACATCCGTAACCTTCCACACAAGCAAGCACATGCACCTCAAAGCAGGCCGTGGACATCGCACATCTGTCAGATTTCAGCCAGGGGGGCAGTTCATTGCGGCAAACGACTTATGCGATACCAAGATCTTCACAAAAGTTAGGCCCAGTATGTATATTTGATTGTTTGCTTGACTTTGAGTCAGTGGCAACCAAACAAAAAGTCTACCCCGGTTCACCTTGACGACTCTCTGATAGGGATTTCTCCGGAACCGCTTTTGTACGGGTCGCTCTTATACAAAGTTTGTCTCCCGAGTCGGAACCCTGTGGCTAGTTCGAGGTTCACCTTTTTCGAAAGCGCATTTTTTTGCCAGAAAAGAAACAAGTTCAGGCAAAAAACATGGGCAATATAATCCAGACAAAACATAGGAATCCATGTTTTTGAAGTGGTCCCCACACACCTTCGTATAAAAAACCAAGGCCAACCAGTCACTCAAAAGGGGGTACCCCACAAGAGCCCCTGATTCTATGTATGTAATCTAATTGTTGCGTGGTTCGGGTCAATGTCCAGCTTTTTTGGGAGGCTGGGGAAATTATCAGATCAAAACCTTAGCCTTTTGCTTTTAAAGGGTGATTCATCCTAAGCTCTTCTCAGCCCCCGAAGTTTTCACTACGAAGGCCCCGCTGAGGTGTTGGCACCGTTCCAGGGGGGCTATTGAGGCAGACCCAACGTTTGGAGAAATCCCAACGAAATCCGAACTCCCCAAAACCAGACGAATTTCCTGCAACTGCGCTGAGTTGCGAAGCAATCCCACTGTATCACTGGTTTCTCAGCGCCCGGCCGATCAGCCCTACAAATGATGAGAGCACCCCGCTGCTGGCCTGCGTCCCCCCCCCCCCCTACTCCCGAGCTTGGCATGGAACCGAAACCATCCAACTGGTAAGATACTTCGGGGGACCCGTCTTTGGGTTCCATGATTTACGGAAAAGCATAGCCTCACCAACAGGAACCAAAGGAAATGTTTGAACTGGCTGCAAAGGGAGACACTGCAGCTTTCGTTAGATCCGTCTCTGTTCCGCATTTAGAGATGGTTGCTGAAGGTGAGCATGAGGCTCCCCAGCTTAGCTTTGGTTCTGTCCTGGCTGAGGTGTCTGAGACGAACTTTGCTCCATCCCGAAGCCCGTTTTATTCCTGCACCGGTGTCCCAGGAAAGCTTCCAACCCCACGAGTCACTCAAGTCTCCTGATTAAAAAAAAACAACTGGAGATTCAAAGGTCAAGGAATTCCTATTCTTGGCATCGGAATCTCCAGGAAGATGGCTTTGGAAAACTGAGAAAAATGGAAATTTCCGCGGACCGATCAACGGAGGGATTCCGCTCCCATCCCCCAACTCTCCGGTCAACTTGGCCTCCGTGAAGGTGGCCGTGGACATCACCTCGACGAGATGAGATGGCGCGGGAGAATCCACGGCACGTGCGAGAGGTGGGAAGGAACCCCCCGAGACCGGGACCGCGGCACTTGGGTGTGGCTCTAAATGAAAGAGCTGGGGCAAACCGCGGGGTTTCAGTCTTTGGCTCCATTTACCAGGGTGCCAGTTTGGTACCGGCTTTTTGAGCCACAGCCATTTTTTTTGGGGGGGAGGGAGATGCAAACCGGATTTTGGGGATTGACTGAAACTCAAAAACTTCCCGAGTTGGTTGGCCAGAACTTCTGTCCAAACTGTTTGGCACTAAAATTTGGTCTTCCCCAACAGTTTAAGTTCCAGGAACTCGGGAAATGAGTAAAGGAAACCAGAGGGTCCTCCCAAGTCCTTCCCTGGCGAGAACCAGCAAGTCCAGGATGACAAAGGAATGGAACTTCCTTCTCCCAACTCCCCAATCACCATTTACCGCTAGAAAGGAAGAAGTCATGTCATTCACCGTTCTATTCCTTCGTCCGACCAGAGCAGGAAAGAAGGAAATGGAATTGGGGCCAAAACTGCGTTTCCTTTGAGTTGGCTGATGATTGACGGGGAAATACAGGGAGCCCTGGTTAAACCCCTACAAAAAGGGACCTGACAACCGGAATGAACGAGAACCATTTGACCTGGGCTCCCGAAGCAGCGCCGCAAGCCGAGCTCCCCGCATCTCTGCCCTGCGACAGGTACTTGGCCACCTGACGCCGACCGCGCGGCGCTTCTGCTGACCCCGAAAAATTGCCGAACCAGAGGCGAACAAAACACGGTCTTGGTCGAAAACGCACAATTCTTGGAGGCATCACTACTCTGGCACACTTGGCAAGACGGCCACTTCATACGAATCTGTTTGAACTTCCTTGCAGTGAGACAGGGAGGACAAGGAGCGTATAGAGGAAGTGGATCTGGAAGCTTTAAACGTAGACAAGGGCCAGGAGCCCATTATTGGTGTTTGCAGGCACGTCAACCCCGGGTAAGAGTTCATACCCAGACACTCCAATGTTGGTGCTATTTGCCAACATTCGCGAACGTTGGCCTGAGAAGGAACATTGGGGTTTATAAGGCCAATGTTGCTCTGAGAGGCATACATCCAAAATGTTGGTTCGACAAATGCACGTTCGACAATTCTCCTGCGACTAAATCACGCCAAATCACGCCAAATCACGGTATTACATGAATGTACCCCAAATTTGGCATACATTTGGCCCAAATGTATGCCAAAAATGGCATACATTCAGTCCGACAATCGCG